ATGTGTGTGTGTGTGTGTGTGGTTGGGGGGGGGGGGGGCTCTTAAGGACGCAGCGTTCAGTGCAGTCCAGATTCTTTATTCAAGACAGTCGGTCACTCCGTCACTTTACCAGTGCGCGATTTTTTATGTGAAATTGCAAGCTGGAACCGGCCTGATTACTACGCCAATATTCTTGATCCTCAGATTCATCCTTACGACAATTTCTACGTCTACGCCTACAAAAGTAAGTCGAAATTTTTTTTTATTTATTTATTATTTTTCCCTCATACGGTTACGATGCGGTACGGGCTCAATCTCTCAACTCCTTAACCTTTCTACATTTTATCCCATTCTCTCTCTTTTTCCTGCCGCCTGTCCAAGAGTTCGCTCTGGGATACGCAGTCGCCGAAAACTTCAATGAATACTCTTTTTCTCTCTCTCTTTTTCCTGCCGCCTGTCCAAGAGTCTGGAATACGCGGTCATCGAAAAACCGATGTATTACATCCCTTCTCTCCTTATAGTTCCGATTCAGATTACTGACTTTCCCCGATCAGAAGCGGACGAAGAGAGCCTTAAAACATCTAAAGTGTAAATCGAACAAAAGGCTTCATCGTGCATCGTCCGCTCTTGCCTCGGAGGAAGTTATCGGGACGGACATCGCCGTTCCCCAGATCAAATCGCACTCGCAGGAAATCCGATCGATCTCCTTTCATGAACAAAAATCTTCCCTATCAGGGCACGAGATCGAATTCAAAATTAATTAACGAATTAGCAGAATTAGAGTATACAGTTCCAGCTCCAAAGCCTCTCTTCGAATCTTTTTCCCGCCTTTTCTTCGACGTCCCCTGCAAACTGAGTCGCCCGATTTATCCTATAGAGCCCAGTTATTCATTTGAACCACAATCCTCCACACAATCTCTCATTGACTTTAGTGATCTATCCCCAAGTCCCTGAGATTGTGAAGAATATCCTTTCCTCCCAAATTACTAGAAGGACCTTGCTTATCACGCGATCTGAAAACTCCTTCCCCGGAAGAGAATCAGGATTACTCTCCTGCCTAATAATAACCTACATCATTTATCCGAGATTTTCACTCAACTTTTAAACATAAAACACATGTATACTACCAAGAATCTATACTACACTTATCAATATTAATAATGTAATAAATATCCATAACATATCGAAACCAATCTTTCATATAAATTCTTGCTCGATGACCTTCGAATCAATGTAAATCACGATATGCACACACACACACACACACACACACACACACACACACACACACACACACACACACACACACACACACACAACTAACTAA